AGAATATACCACTTTCGTCACTCGAAACGGCGAGATAAAGAAGTTAGAGACGCGTGATTATTAACCATTGCAACCACGATTACTTTCACTCTGCAAGACAACGGCTTACAAGCGGAATTGCGTGTGTACATAGCGTTGCCTGGAGCGTCGTAGGGTGATTTCCTGTGCTCTTGCCGGGAATTGCACGTCGAATCCTGCTGATTGGGCTTGCCGACGTCCGACAAACTCGTTCAAGCCGCCCACTGCTAAGGAGAGTTCCCAAGGGTTTTTTTTTCGCTTCTATCTCTACTAGGAAGTTACTAATGGGCTACTAGTTCATGATTGAGCGCCTACTCCCCGTAACACTTGATCGCGGGAATTGTCGTCGATGATTGTGCCCACTAGGACTAAGGCTGAATGAAGGGCGTCGTAATAATTACGTTTCTCTTCAGCTTCTTTCTTCCAAAGTGGTGTTATGGCTATCATATTCATTGTAGTTGCTACTGGTAAGGAGTGATTTTCATTTTATATTAGAAACCAATTTCTAGGAGAATGCGTATTCCCGGTGACCGATTTGACGACGTTGTACCTGAAGTTGTGCCCGTCCTACAGGGGTGTAGAGCCCCCGAAAGGTTTGTACAGTGATTACTGAACACGTCTTTAGGTTGGGCTTAATCATCTTTCTCAGGTCAGCCTCTATATGGTACCCATGTTTATCAGAGCTACACAGTTGAGTCCTGCTGTTATCGATAAGATGGATGTGCTTTCACAAAAGGTAGACAAATTGTACAATTCAACGTTACTATTGTTTTTCAGCACAGAAAGATTGATTTCTACTGTTCCCAGATAATACCCAAAATCGATGGAATCCGCTGTGTAAAGGAGATTGCTACTGAGGTCGAAATCGATGCAGATTTAGTAATGCGTTGCGTCAGGTAAGTTCACCGCAGGACCGTTACACTAGTGCACGTACTTCACTAGTTATTTCCTAGGAATTTGCATTTTTACGAGTGCATCAGTTTGGTTCCTTTGTTCTTATATTCGAATACATATGTTGCAACGGAGAAACTTCACGAGTTCTACAATAACCCGTCGGAAATACAGGTAGTACTGATTTTTCTCGGTTTCATTCTATACTGAACGAAGTTTTAGTGTTTATTTCCAACAAGTTATCCATATCTGTACAATTACATGGCAGAGGAAGGCCAGTGAATTGATTTTGATTTCCAGCATCCGCAGAACAAGGTTGTACATTAGGCTGCGTTCATACTTTCGCCAGCGTCCGTTAGCGTCTCCCGGAGCCTGGAGGGCCTGGGAAGTATAGGTATCGATCTAGCGTCTACCAGCGTGTGCCAGCGTGCACCAGCGTCTCCCAGCGTCCGGGAGAGGAGAGTATGGCGCGACAGAGGGTAGCAGACAGCTGGTACTTTCCTTTCACGCCATACTCCTCGCTCCCAGACGCTGGGAGACGCTGATGCAGCTGACACACGCTGGTGGACGCTAGATCGATATCAATACTTTCCCCGGCGCTCACAATCCTGTGAACGTCTACCATTTTCCTGAATTTGCTTTCCCTGTTTGTTCGCCTTTCTTGTATTTGCTTGTTCACCGATTGCTGGAAAACCATTGAGTGAATCTAGCCGCTTCCTCGATTTTCCCCTTTTTAAAGACAGTTCCCGCGATCAAATGATCAGCAAAATGCATCCGTGCATTTAACATCTACGTCACCACTCGCATAGCGTGTACCACTTGTGCCTCTCGAAAGGGCGATATACACTGCGAAGCATAATCATAGTTCCACCCATGAATCTCACAAAATCCTGTCTTACACGACGTTTTCAAAATGCCCCCATACAGAAAATGTGGTAATTACCAATACCAATTCGCATGCCAACACCAACTCTAGCTTGAAAAAACATTTTTTCGTCAATTTTTTCAAAAATGGTCGTTCTGACAACGCAGCAAAAATATAGTTCCACCGCATATTTTCCGGCTGCATCTCATTTTTGTTCGGTGAAACTTCTCATCATTATGACTTCTTGCCTCTTCTAGGCTATGGGAACTTCATTAATGACTTCGAAAAAGGACAGATTTGAGACGATTCACCAGTTTCTGTGTCCTTCTTTGCAGAAAGACTCAAAAACTGGTGAATCGTCGAATGGCGCGGGATGCGGGCCGCACTCATCATGCTATCAACAATTTTTTCCAGGGACCTACAGGATATTGAGCTGAGAAGAGCTCTGGACATCCTTCTTTGCTGCGCGATCGGAATAACCGCCGTATCCTTAGGAAAGCATCCAACTCTGCAGTGTCGTGTCGGGAAATCAAGTCATCTTCGCAGGTTAATGTCTCGGAGGATACTGTTAGGCGTCTCTTGAAAAACCCCGAGTTCACTCATAGGGGGAATATGAGTTACGTACTGTTTCTAACGAAAAACCATCGCGAAAACCTAATTGGCTTTGCTCGAAGATGTTGCCGAACCCAATGGAGTGAGGTTAGCTTTTGGCTGCGGTGCCCTACTGCTTGTCTGTGTTGTTTTTTTCAGTTTTTTTTCTCGCGGTCGTGTTTTCTGATGAGAAAAAATTCAACTGCGACGGCTCCGACGAAAACCGATTCCGCTGGCACGACATGGGGAAAGATAAGTTTCATTTTTCCGGGCAGAAATTCAAAGGATGGTCTGGGCTGCCATCGCATCAAGGGAACGTCTGAAACTGCGCTCCGTATGACAAAAGAAATTATTTCTTCCGTCATCTAGAAGTCACGCGACAACGTCTCCTTGCTTTCTGGCGTAGAAATCAGCAAGAAAGTCCCGTTTTCATGCAGGATAATGCACCAGTTCATGACAGTCGAAGCACTCGAGCGTGATTCAGTTGTCACCAAACCGCTCTTTTGCCCTAGCCAGCGAGTAGCCCGACTAAAACCCAATCGAGGATGTGAGGGGCTTCATGGTGCGTATGATCCATGAGAGTAATGCACAATTCCACAAGGTCCGTGAGCTTAGGGAGTTAATCATTGGGGCAGTCGGCCGACAGCCTATTAAAATCTCTAATCGAACATGGGCAACCGTATTTTCCAACTTACTTGGAGAAATAGAGTTCCAATAGATTACTGGATCAAAATTTATTCATTTTATTGTACCATTTGTTCCTGTTGGGAATATTCGATTTGCTCGGTGAACTATGCCTTTTGCTGCGTTGTCAGAACGACCATTTTTGAAAAAATTGACGAAAAAAAAATTGTTTTTCAAGTTAGTGTTTGTTGTTGGCATGCGAATTGGTATTGGTAATTACCACATTTTTTGTATGGGGGCATTCTTGGAAAACTCGTGTAAGACAGGATTTTGTGAGATTCATGGGTGGAACTATGATTATGCTTCGCAGTGTATGCTACAACCAGTCGGATCGGCCGGCTTCGCCGGCCGATCCTCCTTCCGGGTGTGAAGTGGGTCCCGGTGAGAAGTTTTCCATGAGAGGGAGGGCCAGTCGGATCGGCCCCGAATGGTCGAAAAAAATTGTTTTGAGGATTACCGCACTTTACCGTTTCACTGCTTGTATATACCCCCCCCCCCCCCCCCCCCCCCCCCCCCCCCTAGAAAACCGCGTCATCAAAATTTTCAATACCCAATAGCCGCCAACCCGTCACTGCATAAGGAAGGTGCAGAATAAACGCCACCAATCCTGGCACACAATATTGCTATTATCCCTAACGGCTTATCCCTTACTCACTTCATCTGCGACAACCAACTGCCAGTTTCCACTTACTCCCATTTTCCTGGAGTTTTTCGGATGTGTTCTGAGGGTTTTTGTCCCCGGCACCGTTCACTTCGGCGAACGACCTACCCATCGCGGGTGTGCTTCATTCATTCCGTCCGCCAACTGTTTGCCTATCGTTTCCCACAATTTCCGCTCTCCGGGATCTTCTAGAACCTAACTACGAATTTTTGAAAGTTTTGTAGCGAGCACCGCCCATCTATAGCACGCCTCGCCCATCGAGGGTGTGACTCCCTCATTTCATCCGCCAGCTGACTGCTTATCGTCTCCCACAATTTCCGCTCTCTCCGGGATCTTCTAGAACCGAACTACGATTTTTTGAACTATGTAGCTCACTACTGTGCGCATGCCCCGCCCACAGTGGGCGGGGCTTAGCTCAGTTCATGTGTGTTCCGTACATCTTGACCCATGCCCTACCCAACCCACCCTTGACCCGCCCCCTCCAACTGGTTCTTCAGGTGATTCCGAATTTCCGGACAGACAGACAAACAGACAAACGTACAGACGTTGCCGTTGTAATATATGTAAGTCTTGTTTATCGCTCCAGAGGTCGCGCATTGTCCCACGGCAAACATGACAATAAAAACGGCCTAAGCGTCCCACTCGTTAGTTTAAAGTATTTCTATAGCTTTAGAGCCGGATTCGAGCCGGATCGCAGAAATGCACACGCGATTTTAATTGATTTGCGTTTCCTTAGTTTTTTCAATTTTTTTTATTTACATCTACATTCGTTGTTCTTCATTTCTAGCCTTTGTCATCTTCATCACCTTCTATTCGGACTTTGAAGCATGAGCAATACCTCAAATGTTAGGAAATTGCGTTTTGCTTGTATTGTCATGTTTTATTGTCATGTTGTCCGTTTTTATTGTCATGTTCTGTGGGAATGCGCGGCCTCTGGGATATTGCAGAAGCACCACAGTTGCTCTTGAGTTCTAGCCCTCGTCATCATCTTCGGTTCTTATTTTGCAGCACCTAAAATGTTATCCGCATAAAGAAATTGCGTTGTATTCCAAAGCGCAATTACAGGACTTGGCAAAAAGCCAAGAGAGCTGCACGCGACCGCGCCGCGCGGACGGTGTTAGCATAAACGTGAGGGCGGTGTAGCAAGGAATTACGACTTTCCCACGGCCCCGTACTCTGACCCCGTGCAGTTTTGGGCGGGGGACGACACATCGACAGCTGGGGGGCTGATAGTCTCATACACCCTCAATGTGTTTGAGCGTACCATGTGTCTTTAAAGGATAAATACCTAGTTCACGTCCTCTTGACATGAACGTTTCAGGACTGCATAGAGTTTGTTCGACATCGTTTACCAGAAGGTGAACTAGGACCAGTTCCACAGTTTTGCGACATTTTCAGGTTATTGATGAGCCTAAAGGTCGGTCAGATAGTCTTTTATTCACGTTCATTCTTGTATTCAGCAATTAGGTGAGCACGTATTTTAGTGTGGTGTCACATTACGTGATTGGTGTGATACTATGGCACCTCGACGATATAACGTCGATGAACGCCGATTGGTGCAGTTTGGTATGCACCATCAGTTTCTACGAAAGCTATCGACTTATCCTATATCAACAGTGTCGTCGGGTGAAATGGAACGTTCTGGGAAGTGAGTTCAAACTGTCTGGAATAAGAAAATGGTGTTGAAGATAGGCGGAAGTGGCCTTGCGCTTGTGTTGTTGCTCGTTTTTTTTTCAACCCTTGGCTGGTACCTTACTAGTGGACCTCGTTGGCATAGCGGCAAAAATCGCTTGAGCGCTGAATGCCTAGCAATTCATTGTCTAGACCAGATAGGGCAGATGTCTCAACGATTGAATGAAACTCGTACTCATGGTGCACCCCCTCAAGGTTGGTCAGGCGCAGTTCGGCTTGGTGGGAGCACCAAATGCTACTTAGCATAGCTAGTTGAGGCCACATTATGAATACTTGTGAGTTACTATAACCAAAATGGCTTACTTACACCACTTCATAGCTTCACAGAAGTTCACAAGTCTTACCATAAAACCTGTCAATTAAAATGAACTGATTGCGAAAGGAACTAGCGAAAGTGCAAATTACCTCTCTCAAGCCAACCAGCGCCGGTTGGTCGATGCATAGCAATCATTTTGTGTTTTACCAGTTTACAGAGGGAGTCTAAGGATGTGGTTGGAACACAAAAGCGTTGGTTCCATACTTTCGCATTTTCGGTGTAGGGTCAGAATCATAGCTTCCGTTTCTTGCATCTCTTACAGCTTGCGACCGTCATAGAAGACTCGCTGTTTCGTAGCGTTTTGACCAATTTACTATCACAGTGGTACTGAGTTATGGGCCATCTGGAAAGGGTAAGATGCTGGTTCCAGTCCCGCCGTTGGTCAGGACTTTTGCCCATAACTCAGTATTTTTGTGGTAGCTTTCGTAGCGCGAATTACGGCGTTAAAGGTAGTTCCCGTGATCAAGTGGTCTGCGAAATGCCTCCGTGCATTTGGCATCGTTGTCCGCATTCGCAGAGAATATACCACTTTTGTCACTCGAAATGGCGAGATAAAGAAGCTAGAGACGCGTGATTATTGCAACCATTGCAACCACGATTACTTTCACTCTGCAAGACAACGGCGTACAAGCGGAATCGCGTGTGTATACATAG